AGAGAGAGTGGAAGGGGGGGAGAAAGAGAGAGAGAAGGAAGGGAGGGAGGGAGCAAGGGAAGGAGGGAGGGAGGGAGGGGAAAGAGAGAGAGAGAGAGAGAGAGAGAGAGAAGAAAGAAAAAGAAAAACATCAATGTGAGAGAGACCTATCGATTGGTTGCCCCCACACGTACCCCAACTGGGGCCAGGGACCAAGCCTGCAACTGAGGTATGTCCCCTTGGCTGGAATTGAACATGGGACCCTTCAGTCCGTGGGCTGACGCTCTAACCACTGAGCAAGACTGGCTAGGGCTTGAGAGTTTTTTAAGACAAACTGTGATGCATGCCCAGGCTGGTTGCAGCAGACAGAGCCTCAGGTGGTCCTCAATCAGAGAGGGTGGGGCCTCACCAAGCTAATGCTGTATTGGGGGAGGGCCCAACGCAAGAAAGGTAGCAACCTTGGGCCTGGCGGGAGGAGGACTCAACACAGGGACATTGGCAGCTGTCCCTCAGTCCCTTGCCCTGAAGCCACATAATTCGTTCTCTCTCTGTGTGACTGCTGGAGCCCAGGGTGAGCGCCTGTGAGTGGGAGTTTTTATGTTGGCCCTTTAAAAGGATGCCTGGGTTTCCAGCAACCTTCCTTCTCACCTCAGTAGAATGAATTCCCGCTGATTTTTCATAGCCAGATGTTTTGTAGGCTCCTCTTCCCAGCACTGATACTCCAGGCTGAGGAGCCCAGCATCAGGCTGATGCCCCTTGCTCCTCAGGGGAGACCTTTGCAGCTGAGATATCCCTCCTGATTTTCAACCACCACATGTGGGTATGGGGCCAGCCCATTTCACCTCTTCGCCCTTCCTACCAGTCTCAGTATGGCTTCTTCTGTATATTCTTAGCTACAGGTCTTCTGTTCAGCTAGTCTTCAGATGGTTACTCAGGTTTATTATTGTATTATTTAATTGTAATTTTGATATGGTCATGGGAGGAGGTGAGTGCAGCATTCACCTACTCCGTTCTTGGATTTCTCCATGACTAATCAGTAATTTTTTTGTCTTTGTAAATTTAAAAATGTGCGTAGCTATGAAAAAGAATGTAAAGATATGGATGAATCTCACAGACATAATGTTACATGAAAGAAATCAGACAGAAAGAGTACATACTGCATGATTCCATTTTTATGAAGTTTAGAATCAGAACACTAATCTATGGTAATGGAGGTCAGAATAGAGGCCATCCTTTGGTGAGGGGTTACTGACTAGGATGGAGCAGGAAGAAGCTTCTGATGGTACTGGAAATGTATATCTTGATGTGAGTTGGGATTACATAAAGTATGTATATGCAAAAATTCATTGCACTGTATACTTCATATTTGTGTACTTTATTGCAAGTGAATTATGCCTTGATACATTTAAAAAATAAAACAAAAATTGATTTTATTTATATGACTGAATTCTGAAGATTATTCAGAAACAGTTTTGTAAGCTAAAGAATGATCTAGTATGATGGCTTCTATCTTCTTCATATTTGAAGCCATTTTAATGTTAATAGTGAACCTAGTAATAGCTAACATTTCATAATACCGATCATGTGCCAGAAATTACTCTGTATACTTTACATGCATTTAATAAATACATCAAATCTATATGGTAGGTTTTATTATTATCCCCACTTTATAAATAAGGATACTGAGGCACAGAATGATCTTACCCATGAGGGGTTTTACAAATAGTTAGTGGCAGAGCCAGAAGTTGAACCTAGGTAGTCTGGCTCCTTCGTGCTCTTAACTACTATACTAATTTCATGCTCAGACTAGCTTTGATGAGAAAATATAGACATGCACATGGGCCCTTTGAAGTATTCATCAAAGTTTGGCACCTATAATTGCGTGTCACTATGTATTATTTTTCTTCTAATAGTAGACTCTCATGTGTTAAAAATAAAATGTTTTTCTGTAGCTTTAAACAAAATTAGAGTTGTCTATAACTTTCAGTGAGGTTATAATCTACAGAAAAAAACATTTTTTTCTTATAAAAACAATGCATGTTTATTTTAGAAAAATTAGAAAATGTAGTTAAACTAAAAGCAGAAAATAGCCCCACCCACATTGCTCAGTGGTTGAGCGTCGACCTATGAAGCAGGAGGTCACACACAGTTCAGTTCCCAGTCCCGGCACATGCCTGGGTTGTGGACTCAGTCCCCAGTAGGGGGTGTGCAGGAGGCAGCCAATCAGTGACTCTCTCATCATTGATGTTTCTCTCTCTCCCTCTCCCTTCCTCTCTCTAAAATCAATAAAAACATTTTAAAAAATAAAATAAAAGCATAAAATAAGCATTCCTGTAATTCAGCACTCTTAACACCTGACTGGCGATGCCCTTTCAGACCTTTTCTTTGTTCATAACTTGTGTCACATACACATATTTAACAGTTGGGAATATTGTACATCCTGTTTTGTGACTTTTTTCACAGAATATAATGGGGGCATTTTGTCCAGTTAGTACATATTCATTATGATGTATTTCTATACTGGAAATAATTTTTCACTTTCAAAAAGAAAATTACAGGGCCCACTTTATATGTGATTCAGTATTTATGAAAGCAGCCATTAAAAACTAAGAATTCATCATTTACAAAAAATATTGAATATTCTCTATTATATTATCTCACATGCTTAAAAATCTTCATAAACTGCCAGTAGAATTGCAGTGTTATATATAATATTTAATATGTAGGCATTTCCCTTACGTTTATAGAAAAATGTGGGTGTCTTAGATGAGGCTGGTTTTGTTACAGTGAAAGCATGCATAATCAAGAGGTAATCAACCCAAACTAAGTTTTTTGAAACCCTTATGTTCATAGGCCTCTCCCCACCCATACATGGATGAATCTAATTTAGTAGCTACTGCAAACTATTATTAAATGTAACACAGAATAAATAGCTTAACTAAGTTTACAGAGGTTTCCATACCTTTGGGACAGTAAGGATTATTGGAGGTGGCATTAATTTAGTTATGGAACCCTGGACCAGACCTGGCCAGGTGGCTCAGTTGGTTGGAGCATCATCCTGTACACCAAAAGGTTGTGGGTTCAATTCCTGATCAGAGTACATACCTAGGTTGCAGATTCGATCCCTGATGTATATGAGGCAGTCCATTTGGTGTTTCTCTCTCACTTTGATGTTTCTATCTTTCTCTAAAAAATCAATGAACATTTCCTTAGGTGAGGATTTAAAAAAATGGACCATTTTTATTCTGGTCACCTATATCAGAGTTTGATACATAGTTATTGGTACTTCTACACACAAATATACCAACATGAACTACATCTGTATATCTGCTCATGAAGGTATAACTTTTAAAATTTATATGCTAGATTCTTTGTATTTGGCTTACTTGGAAAAAGGAGCAATCCAAATATATGTTGATTCAGAGTATCTAAAATTTCTCTATTTTTCTTTTCCTGATGCATTGATGGGTTTATTACTCAGTATAGGTATTTGCCTCAATTTTATTTCTTGCTCTTTGTCTCCTTTTGCCTTCAAAAGTAATGGGTATTCTATAAATTCTGAAAGAAGAAGTTAACATTAATATTTCACAGTCACTGAGGTAGGGTTCCCGCTCTCAACAGTGGTAACATAATATTGTACGAATGCGTCATTTCCTTCTTTGGAGGAAAAGAAACAGCAAAGAATATGCACTGAAAGTTCTTTCAATTCATTTGTAGCTCGCTTTTTTTTTCTTTCTTTTGAGCAGTTAAGTTTCTCCTTGAAACACTTGGCTGCTTTTATTAAAATGCTTATCGAAGAAGTTTATTCCCAACCAATCTCTCTAATTTTTGCTAGTGCTATGTCTTTGTGAGTTCTAGCAGAATAATACTCAGGAGAAATAAGGAATGTTGAAAATGTGGTTTTAATGACTGGATGGTTTAGATACAAAATATAACAAAACAAAGCAGTACTCACCTAAAATGTTTTAATTTATATTTCTAATTTCAGAGTGATCATGTAGGATCAGGAGGTCATTTCAGTAACCGTAAGTATAAAAATGTAGATTATCATTACAGTTCACCCAGTTTAATCAAAGAAAGGTGTTTATGCCTATTTATTTTGTCTTACTGTATATGCTACTCCTGCTGCTAAACTCTGTCCAACTACTTACGTGTTATACCTCAACACCTAACACCTGGAACTGTACTTGCAGCCTTTAACGTAAAATCTGGTAATCACTAAGGCTCTGACTTTCCTTAGCCCCTGTTTTAAAAATTGCATATAGTATGAATTACCAAATTTGCCTTGTTGGTTGGTAGACATTTATCTTGTGATATTTGGGACTTGTTTTTTATGGAAATAAACATAATTTTCTGATTTGGAGAAATCTTTGGATATAGTCTCAATGCAGGTAATAATTTTAAAATTAGAAGTTCCATAACAATTACTTATTTTAAAACTATACATAGTTAGTCTTCACTTTTGTATATTGTTTTCCAACTTTAAGCAGTTTCTCTAAAATATCTATGTTTTGCTTCCCATCAAATATTAATATTTATCCTGTAAACTGCATGAGCATTTTTATTTTTACTGATTATAAGATACATATTTTATAATAATGACACAGCTTATTTAGACTAAGTGTTCTATATTTCTCAAAGAATGCTTATTATCTATTCAGAAGAATATGGATACTTCCCTTATGTACAAGGAAAAATATGGATGTTTTAGAACAGGGATAATTTTATACTGTAACTCATGCTTCCCTTTTGTTTGAAAAATACAGGAGAGATAACACCAAATTAATATTTAGCCTACTGTGGTATATAGATTATGAAGTTCAAATCATTTATTTGGGTTTATTTAGGAAAAGAAGATATGCTTCTTAAACAAGGTCAAATGTACGTGACAGACTCACAGGTAATACTATTTAAAAATTTAAAAAAAATATTTCTGCCTTTAAAAAAAGAGAACAACTTGTATGTTTATCAAGAATATATACAGCGAATATGGTTTTCATTTAAAAAAAAAAGTTGGTCTTGCATTCTTTATTTTAATAAAAGTAGGTATTGCTGTTTCTGGTGCCCCCTAGCGTGTTTTTGATGACAGCAGCTTAAAGGAGAGATTTGAATTACAATTTCATGGTCTTTATAGTAGACCTCCATTACAGCAGATGGTTAACTCTTCATATTTTCCCATAAAAGGGGGAAGACAGGTATGAATAATTAAAAAGTCATTTGTTTTGGCTTTGAAATAAATTTTTCCTTGCTTTCAATTATGCTGTTTTAGAAATTCACCTCAAAACAAATAAAGCTTCCAAGAGGGAGTGTTGTCTGACTTTCTTACTTGTTTATCTGTTCCTCACTTTTAGTTTCCAATAGAAACAAAGTTTACATTCCTAGTACCTCCTATGGACTGCAGAAATGATAAATATTTGAGCTTCAAAGACCTTTTTACTTGCTTTTATCTGGCGGCAGAGTAAATTAGTGACATGATGTCTAAGATCACTTTAAGCTGGAAACTTCTAAGATCCTAAGTTGAGAGAATAGATGTTAGACAACTGAATAATATTGAAAAGATTAGATAACATTTGATCATAATAAAATAAGTATGGAAATTATGAATTTGTGTAAGTAACGTGTTGGTAAATTATAGTGTCTCAGTCTAAAGATAATTGGTAAGTTGAAAGATAATTAGAAGCAGACTGAGGCTGGGAAATTATTTCATGTCGTTAATTTTCTTCTTAATCCAGGGGAAGGCAGTGTAGATTGAACTGACAACACTAAAATAGTGGAATGTACTCATAGCACATGGTTTTTATCAATGAATTAGCTCTTGTAAAGAGCCCTTATTGTAACAGGCTGTATGGGGGAAAATATAAATAAATTTAATCTTTCATGCTTATATGTTCTGATATTTCCGAACTGTTTCAATGAGTTTAATTATATTTCTTTTTTTTGTCAGCATTTAATAGAGGGAACAGGATGTCAATCAAATTTTGTAGTAAGATTATATGCAAAGTTCTAATTTATCTTTCTGTTTCAGAGAACAAAACTTGTGGTTTTCTTTTAAAAATATGTTTTTAGTGATTATTTAGAGAGAGAGGAAGGGAGAGAGATAAAGAGATAGAAACATCCATGAGAGAGAAACATCATCAATCATCTGCCTCCTGCACGCCCCCCCTACTGGGGATCGAGCCTGCAACCCGGGCATGTGTCCTGACTGGGAATTGAACCATGACCTCTTGGTTCCTGGGTTGATGCTGAACCACTGAGCCATACCAGCCGGGCTTTGTTTTTTGGTTGTTTTGTGGGTTGATTAACGTTATTCTCTTGACTACTCTCATACTAGCTAGGTTTATTTCGGTTGTATTTTTATAACTAAAGAACATTACATTGCAGTTCATAATGAGGGTACTCAGAAGTCAGGCACTTTATTATAAATTAAATAATATCACTTTATTTCAAGGTTCTCATGGCTTCAGAATTTGAAGTTCTAAGCACATTATGTGCCATAAAACATAGAAGTGATAAATGTGTTTTGACTGAGTTGATGTTCACCTGTGGTGTAGGTATTTTGAATGGTGAAAATAGTCTCCAGAGGCTACAACTATTTTCTTTGTTCTGCTAGTACACTTAAGTGAATAGACTTTCAAAATGTCACTCACTGCTATAGTATGTATTAAGGAAATCATACCCAGAACTGTTTTGTTTTTTTAAATATATCTTTATTGATTTCAGAGAGAGGAAAGGAGAGGGAGGGAGGGAGAGAGAGAGAAACATCAATGATGAGTCATTGATCGGCCGCCTCCTGCACACCCCTGACTGGGAATCAAGCCCACAACCCGGGCACGTGCCCTGACCGGGAATCGAACCCTAATCGCCTGGATCCTAGTTCGACGCTCAATTGCTGAGCCACACCCGGCCGGGCAGAACTGTTTTTCTTAATTCACAAATCAGTCCTATATTTTTCCAAAATACTAGTCTGAAACTCCTTTGACTACTGATGATGTGGATACTTTATAAGTTTGCAAATAAGTGTCTTCCTTAGGCTTTTGTGATGAATATCTTTTTGTTTTCCTTTTCAGTGTACTTCCACGGGTGTGCCAGCTCATGTGCAAAGCAGATCTATGTTAAGACCACTGGAGCTGTCCTTACCCAATCAAACCTCATATTCTGAAAATGAAATTTTAAAGAAAGAGTTAGAAGCAATGAGAAATTTCTGTGATTCAGCAAAACAAGACCGACTCAAGCTCCAAAATGAACTGGCTCACAAGGTGGCTGAGTGCAAAGCGTTAGCATTAGAATGTGAAAGGGTCAAGGAGGATTCAGATGAACAGATAAAGCAATTAGAAGACGCATTAAAAGATGTGCAGAAGAGAATGTATGAGTCAGAGGGGAAAGTTAAGCAAATGCAGACGCATTTTCTTGCCCTTAAAGAGCATCTTACAAGCGAAGCAGCTACAGGGAATCACAGACTAATGGAAGAACTGAAGGATCAGTTGAAAGACATGAAAGCAAAATATGAAGGAGCTTCAGCAGAAGTGGGAAAATTAAGAAACCAAATCAAGCAAAGTGAGACGTTGCTAGAAGAGTTTAAGCGGGATGAAGGCAAGCTGATAGAAGAAAATAAGCGACTGCAGAAGGAATTCAGTATGTGTGAAATGGAGCGAGAGAAGAAAGGGAGAAAGGTCACAGAGATGGAAGGCCAGTTAAAAGAATTGTTAGCAAAGTTGGCCCTTTCCATTCCAACAGAAAAATTTGAAAACATGAAAAGCTTATTATCGAATGAAATAAGTGAGAAAGCAAAAAAATTAGTTGATATGGAAAGAGAATATGAAAAATCTCTTAGTGAAATTAGACAGTTAAAGAGAGAGCTTGAGAATTTTAAGGCCAAGCTTTCTCAGCATGTCAAACCAGAGGAACATGAGCAGCTCAAGAACAGATTAGAACAAAAGTCAGGGGAACTTGGGAAGAAGGTCACTGAATTAACATCTAAAAACCAGACTTTACAAAAGGAAATTGAAAAGGCTTATCTGGATAATAAGCTCCTCAGCCAGCAAGTACATAACTTAACAACTGAAATGAAAAATCATTATGTTCCTTTAAAAGTAAGTGAAGAAATGAAAAAGTCACATGATGTAATTATTGATGATTTGAATAGAAAGCTTTTAGACATAACACAAAAATATACAGAAAAGAAGTTGGAAATGGAGAAATTGTTGATGGAAAATGACAGTTTAAGTAAAAATGTTAGCCGCCTGGAAACTGTGTTCATACCTCCTGAGAAACACGAAAAAGAGATAATGACTCTGAAATCCAATATTGTTGAACTTAAAAAACAACTCTCTGAACTTAGTAAGAAATGTGGTGAAGACCAAGAGAAAGTACATTCACTCATGTCTGAAAACACTAACTTGAAAAAGACTATGAGTAATCAGTATGTGCCAGTTAAAACCCACGAAGAGATTAAAACTGCACTGAGTAGCACATTAGATAAAACTAACAGAGAATTACTAGATGTGAAGAAGAAATTTGAACATATAAATAAAGAACTTGTAAAAACAAAAGATGAGAATGAAATACTAAGAAGAAACCTGGAAAACACTCAGAACCAAATAAAAGCTGAGTACATCAGCCTGAGAGAGCACGAGGAAAAGGTGAGTGCTGTCAGTAAGAGCATGAGAAAGGTTCAGGATAATAGTGCAGAAATACTGGCCAACTACAAGAAAGGCCAAGAAGAGATTGTGACACTGCATGCTGAAATTGAAGCCCAGAAAAAGGAACTTGACACAATACAAGAGTGCATTAAACTAAAATATGCTCCAATTGCCAGCTTTGAAGAGTGTGAGAGAAAATTTAAGGCAATTGAGAAAGAACTAAAAGAACAGTTGTCAGAGCAGACACAAAAGTATAATGTCAGGGACGAAGAGACCAAGAAGTGCAAACAAGAGAATGACAAGTTAAAGAAGGAGATTTTCACTCTTCAGAAGGATGTAAAGGACAAGAATGTTCTCATTGAGAATGCTCATGAAATGGAAAGAGCATTAAGCAGAAAAACAGAAGAGCTGAACAGACAGTTAAAAGACCTGTTACAGAAATACACGGAGGTAAAGAATGAGAAGGAGAAGCTAGTAGAAGAAAATGCCAAACAGACTTCTGACATCCTTACAGCACAGACACTTTTGCAGAAGCAGTATGTTCCATCGGAACAGGTAGAGGCCCTGAAAAAGTCTCTTAATAGCACAATTGAGACTCTAAGGGAAGAAGTGAAACATAAGCAAAGGTGCTGCGAGCAGGAGCAGCAGACAGTGACCAGGCTGCATCAACTGCTGGAGAACCAAAAGAACTCTTCTGTGCCCCTGGCCGAGCACCTGCAGATGAAGGAAGCGTTTGAGAAGGAAGTTGGAATCATAAAAGCCAGCCTGAGAGCGAAGGAAGAAGAAAACCAAAACAAAACTGAAGAAGTCTCCAGACTCCAGTCAGAGGTTCAGAATAGTAAACAAGCATTAAAAAACTTAGAGACGAGAGAGGTAGTTGATCTGTCTAAGTATAAAGCAACAAAAGGTGATTTGGAGACACAGATTTCCAACTTAAATGAAAAATTGGCCAACCTGAATAGGAAGTATGAAGAAGTGTGCGAGGAGGTTTTGCATGCCAAAAAGAAGGAACTATCTGCAAAGGATGAGAAAGAATTACTACATTTCAGCATCGAGCAAGAAATCAAGGATCAGCAGGAGCGATGCGATAAGTCCTTATCGACAATCACAGAGTTGCAGAGAAGAATACAGGAATCAGCTAAGCAAATCGAAGCAAAAGATAATAAGGTAGGCCCTGGGCCGGCTGCATGGCTTTGTGTGGGAAACCCCAGAGCAGAACAGGGCGCTGTTTTAGCAGCCTAAAGACAGATTTACAAAAGCATTAACATAATGACCATTAAATGCCACCTTTCTGTTTGACTTACTGGTGTGTGAAAAGAAATTGGAATTGAAAAAAAAGATGGTCACACAAAAATCAAAAGCATTTTGCATTTTGTTTCCTCAGCTGGTACAGCTAAGAATTGAGGAAAGACGGGGAGATACAAGGTTCCCGTAGCTCGTAGTGGATCCAGTGGGTTTTAGGGTATCTGAAGAATGGTGAGGGAAGGGAGTGGAAAAGCTATGTTTCTGGCCTGCAAGAAACCAAAGATGCTGGGGAACACCCCAGTGTGAACCTTGGTACTCATACCAGCACACCAAGCCCTCCTGCTTGCTGTACATTCTGTCCCCATATTTTTCTACAGACTGATCCCCTTACCCAGAATGTTCTGCCCTGCTTTGTACTGAGTCAAATTCTGTTCATTCCTTAATGCCCGTTTCAACACTTGTCCTCCCTTCTGAAGCCTTCACTGTCCAGCCTAGTCCACAGTAAACTACTCCTCTTCCAAAATGCATGTTTTGTTTTGGCTTTGCCATCCACTTAAAACATATATATTACAGTGTAAAAATTATGTGGTTGATCTTCTCAACTAGTTTTTAAGAGAAATATTGTAACTTATCTTTTCTTATATTCATTCTCATGGTATAATTTATAGGATGGGTGCTCAACAACATTTGAAGAACTGGGAGTCACATAAAGTATTTACTGTGAAGACAAGAAATCAGGGAGACTGACTACAATTTTATCAGTTCAACAAATAATTGTTAAGTGCCTTCTGCATGCCAGGTGCTATGCTCAGTGCTGGGGACACAGCAATGAGTAAAAGTAGACACAGCCCCAGCCCTCCTCAGCAGAGAGGTGCAGGCACTAACTGACACCTTTGCTCACGTGACCTGGACTTTAAGTGGTTAATGGAAAGTGGTCATGAATATAATAGTATATCATTAGAATAGCAAGTTATTAATGTCTACTTATAATTGTTGCTGTTAATTGAGCATGTACTATGTACCAGGCATATCTTCATTTATGATAGCATTTGGTTTTCTTAACTATGAAGGATTTTCCCTCTTTCACTGATAAATTAAGGCTTAGAAAAAGAAAGGAAGTCAGCCGAGCTCACGTAGCAACAAACATCAGATCTGTCTAATTTAAAGGCTTAAAGCTTGTGCTCTTTCCACTATTCTAAACAGCCTCCCTATTTTTTTCTCTCTTTAAGACAAAGTAGTCCAAAATCATACATTCTTAAAAGGAATAAGGCACATAAGTTAATGCCAGATGTATGTGAGCCATGCTTTTTTACTTTTCAAACTTTGTTGGGGAGAATCTCTTCTACCTTCCTATGTTTCATATGACCCAGAAGATAGTCTAACTAACTTCATAGGTACTTATGTATTATCTAAAAATAAGACTGGGGTCACACTCAAATCTGAGGATATACCCATATTCATTCTTAATTTGGTAATGCTTTTGTAAGGAATTCCTGAGAGGAATGTAATTCAAGAAATTGAATATATTGTATATATTGTGTAAAAATGTTTATTGTAAGCGAGTGAGTAATATATGTTTTTCCCACAACTTTTTTCTTTTTTTATAAGATAACTGAGCTGCTTAGTGATGTAGAAAGACTAAAACAGGCACTGAATGGCCTTTCACAGCTCACCTACACGAGTGGGAGTCCCAGCAAGAGACAGAGCCAGCTGATTGACACTCTGCAGCATCAAGTGCGGTCCCTGCAGCAGCAGCTGGCTGTGAGTACCCCAGGCCCGCAGGGCTTCATGCATCCACTTCAAACATATATATTACAGTGTCAGAATTATGTGGTTGATCTTCCCAACCAGTTTTAAGAGAAAAATTGTAACTTATCTTTTCTTATCATTCATTTTCATGGTATAATTTACAGGATAGGTGCTCAGCAATATTTGCAGAACTGGGAGTTGCATAAAGTGTTTATTGTGAAGATGAGAAATCAGGGACACTGAGTGTAGTTTTGTCAGTTCAGCAAATAATTGTTGTTGGTTTTTTTTTTTTATGGAGTAAAATTACAATTTTTATAAGAGTTATAGGATAAGCACATGAAGGTTTTATTGGCAAATTACTTAAATTAAAACAAAGCTATTGACAGGCAAGGATGTGAAGTGAAACTAGATGACAATAAGATAAAAACTGACAAGGATGAGAACAAAATAATTATTTTAAAAGAGAATGATTTGAGTTTGAAAAGAGGCCTTTGGGAAAATTAATGAAGCCCTTGAATATATCTGTGAACCTGGCATTATTGATGATTGTGCTATGAAAATTAAAAGTGAAGGGAAGTTCTATAGTGCTATCAGTTTTTTTTTCTTAAATCAGCTCTGCCCATTGTTGGTGCTTTCTTAGTTCATTTAAGAATCCAGGGTAGTTTAAATTATAATATAATTTTTTTAAACACAAGATAAAAATTAACAGTATTTTTAGCTTCATTTGTTCCTTATGAAACCTGCAGTTAACATTTTAAAATAGTTATCCTGCACTTTTGTTTTGTTTTTGTTTTTCTTAATTATCTTCATTGTTGAAAATATTACAGATGTCCCCTTTTTACCCCCATTGATCCCCTTCACCCCACATCCACCCCACCCCCAGGCCTTCCCCAGACCAGTGTCTGTGTCCATGGGTTATGCTTATAAACATGTAAGTTCTTTGATTAATCTCTCCCCACCCACTCCCCACTCCCCACCTTCCCCCTAAGATCCCTCAGTCTGTTCCATGCTTCTATGTCTCTGGATCCATTTTGTTAATCAGTTTAAACAATTGTTACATGCCTTCTGTTAAATGCAGGATCACAGTAGCTTATATATGTATAGAAGCTTATTTAGAAATCAGGTTGATTTGTGGCTGTGATCAGGTCCAAGAATGTAATTATTTTTGCTAAAAGTTACTTACACTAGTGGTATAATATACTTCATTTAGTGCCTACAGTCTGCCAGGCACTATACTACGTTTTACATACTTTAAACTTTATTTTCATCACAACCTTAGAAGTTTTATTCCCCCATTTGACATTGCATGTTAAGGAAACAAAGATGAAAATACTTGATGCATGGGGTCATATAGCTAGGATTTAATCCTGAAATTTGCTGACTCAAAATCTGGTATCTTTCCAACTGCAGCACACTCTCTAAAGTATTGGTTCACTAAACTAAAGGGAGTTTTAAAAATCTTTTTATGAGTAAAGATAGGCATTCCTATGGTTTTATACCTTATATATTATCCAGATGTTTTAATATATATGTATATCCATATACGTACTTCTATCCTTATAAATATCTATATCAATATATATATCCTTTATATATTAAAGGAAACATCTGGATTAAGAAGCTGAAGATGAGAGCTCAGTTCTAAGCCCTGCCATTTAAAAGCGAGTGACATGGAACATTCCCCTTAACACTTGGCTTCTTCATTCATAGAATAAGACAATAAAAACTGATTACTTATTTGTTTGTTTGCTTTTTAATTGAATGAGCTAAAATAATATACGTGGAAATGCTAAGTAAAACATAGCCCAATCAAATATAAATCGTTGCTAATATTTTTTTATTCTATAGGTATTTGTTATGAATTATTTTTGAATAGAAGAAAGTTATTTTTTTAAAGTTTTCATTTTATAACACTTAGATCTTATCAAAGGGATATGGTAGTCCCTTCAGTAATCAGAAATATTTGTTTATTATTTAATACGTTCATGACACTGTGCTAAGCTCTGCCAGGGACAAAGAAAGCATACAGTTCCTGTCCCCAAGGAGTTCTGGGTAGTTATAGAGGCAAAATATAGCCCTAAAAAAGTAAAATAACAAGAGAAAAAATACCAAATATAGAATTGTGAATACAGTCCCAGATTCTAAGTGATAATTAAGTCCCAGGAAGGATAGGTGACTGTTATGGTAAGAGCTAGCTTCAGAGAAGTAGGGAATAACTGGCCTCAACTTGCAAGGTAGATGGTGTTTTGGTAGGTAAGAGGAAAACAGAATCTTCTGGGCAAAGGCAATGACGTGAAGCAAGGCATGGAGGAGCTGCAGGTGACCTGCCCGGGACAGGGAAAGGCCCATCAGCTTCGCTAGTAGTGGGAGTTGTATTTGCAGTCAGATTGTGAAGGCTGTGAGAACCAAGCTGATGAGTTTGGATTCTCTCTTCTATGTAATGAGGTATCACCCAAGGTTTTAAAGCCAAAGCTATATGAGGAAAGAGCTGCTTCTATCTCCAAAGCACGATAGAGAACAAAGTCTAGAGACGGGGACAAGATGAGAAGCTTTTGCAATAATCTAAAGTGTAAGTTGATAAGTGTCCACATGATTTCATGGCATTAGATGTGAACTAAGACAGTCATTTCATGTGACCTAGGATAAGCAGAATTACTTTCACTATGAACGTTCCCACACATTCATGAGAAAAGTTCATACTGTTGTTATGCTGTGGAATTTTGCATGTGGTGGGTCCAAGGTAGTTTGTTACAAGAAGCAGCAGGAACACTTTAATAATTGTTTTGTAGCCTCAAGCCTGAGGACCAGCAGTGTTACAAGCCTCCATGTGTTTGAAAATACGAATGCTGATATTCTTATCTATCTTCCCACATTTCTAGGACGCTGACAGGCAGCACCAAGAAGTAATTGCAATTTATCGGACACACCTTCTTAGTGCTGCACAGGTAAAGAACTGTTTCTCCTTTGGAAAGGATATTATTTTAGAGAAAATATTTTTTCATGTTCAAGTAAATTTATGTGGTCACATTTAAAGTAGTTGTACCCCATATGCTTATTTAAAAACAATTGTTTTTTTTTTAATCATGGCTTGCATATCTCCCAGAGAAATTTACAAAGCTATATTGCAACACAACATCTTAAATTTAATGTTATCTCCATCTGCTTGTCACTCATTTTATAGACAGTTTGGCAACATATGATGGCAGCACACGTTGATACTACTGCTAGCTGGAGATGATGCCTTGACAGCCACACGTGGCTGTCACCAAAAGAGGAGAGTGGAAAAGATACTATTGTTTCTTGGTAGCTCAGGAGTATTTCTTTGAAATGTAGAGAATACTATAAAAGTACAAAAATGATGAGTAAGGTGTGCACAGAATTGTAATAATTTAAGGAAAAAATTTGGTTCTGTTAGGAGATTATCAATAATATTTATTGAGCCTTAAACTCAGTGAAGTATACATTATACAGTCTTTGGGTATATAATGAGAAAGCTATTTAAAAAAAAAATCATACCAAGAAAATGTTTAATATATGAAGGATGCTATACTTAATGCTCAGTAGAAACCCTATGATCAGCCTCTCCAAAATTCTCAGAATAGATTTTTCAGGAAGATGTCCTAAAAGAGACAATGTTAGAATAATGGGGGCGATATAAAAGGATTGTTAACGATTTGAAGTGTATCAGGCCACATGGTTAAAAGAAAAAACATAGATGTTGAGAGAAAACTTCAAAGAAAGGTGTTTAAAAAAAAGAACTAGGTAAAATAATGAAAAGGAAGAAACTATGACATCAAATTCTTAAAATAAAAAAGCTGAATGGGAAACCAATGGAAAAGAATGAATGGTATGATAGAAGAATATCTTGGACTACTTTATTTTGAGTAAGTAGAAGAGAGGCTGGGACAGGAAAGTATATTGCAGTTATCAGGGAAGGCTGTTGAGGGACCACAGAATGGGAAGTTTAGGGGGGAAATAGAAAGTATAGATCTGTATTAGAGAGGGTGAGGAACTCACTCAGCTCAGGTATTGGCCAAGGGAGGAAGGGCATGCTTTCTCGAAAGACACTGCAAACTAACAAGGTTTCCAACTTTGTATGTATGCTTCTGAAATTATTTTCTACTGACTCCTAAAGAAACATAACAAAAGCAGTGGCATCTGAAATAGTCTTGCCTTCTGGCATCATAAAGTTAACTAAGAAATTCAGTTTAGTCAACTGTGGATAATGTTTGAAATTTAAACATCCTGCCTGTTATAGAAACAGATTTTAGAAAGAAAAATTTTTGTATTAGTAGGAAGCGTTTTGCTGAAACCTATTCAAGTGCTCCAGCAAAGAAAAAGAAGTGGGAGCTGTAATAAGCCCACCATATTGACTCTAATTTAATCAACCCTCTTGCCATCTTTTTAAGTTTAAAGTATTTTTTTCTAAATATAAATGGCTAAGGTTCAAGTAAAAAGATCTCAACCTCATCAGGATAAGATGGTGGGCTTATAGCGTTGGTCAGGGCATTACGGAAAATGGGCATTTATGCCCTGTTGGTGGGAGTGTAAATTGTTATAATCTCCATAAAAGAACATTTGTAGTACTTAGCAAAACTGAAAATTGAGCTTATTTTTTGACCCATCAATTTGTTTTCTGGGAATCTACTCATAAGATTGGAAACACCTTAAAATGCCCATCATTGGGGGAATGGGTAAAGAAATTGTGATACATCCACACAGTGAGATGTTATATAATATTTTTAAATAATTAGGGAAATAATTTGGGATAGCTTTCTATGACACCAGGTAGAAAGGCAAGTTGCAAAATTATATATATGATTCTATTTATGTAAAATATATAATACAGGGATCTTTCATTAATTACTTTTCTAATTAAAAAAACTTTAACCAGGAGCAAGAATATAAATTTCTTTGTAGTTTACTTTGCTCATTTATAACTCGTGTTGTCCCTTATCATCCGAACTGTTATAAGAGAGAAATGTGTCCATTCTCTAATAATAGATGTTAAGAAAAACTGGTGTGCACCACTTTTTTTTTTTTTTT